CTAGTATACAGAAATCCAAATGATATTTTGTACATTGAATGTGTCCTTTGTGTGATATCAAACTTGTTTATGAGTTTTTCTTTGGGCTTTGTGTGCAGGTAGGTACTCTGGAAATATCCACATACAGGGTCATGTCAGCTGTGGATTAAGTTATTTTGACTTTTGTTTTCAATCTACAAGAGAGTTTTAATTTTTTTTTTTGCGTTGCACTATCTAGAACTTTTAACTTTGCACAAGTCAGACTTGTGAAGACAAGTATCAGGAGCAGACTTCCCTGTCTTGTTCCTGATGATTAGGAAAAGCATTCAGGCTTGCAGCATTAAGTCTGATGTCAGCTATGGGTTTTCACAGATGCCCTTTATCAGGTTGAGGAAATCTTCATTTTGCAATTGTTTCTTCTGCCAAAAAGAATAATTTCTCAATTCCCTCAAATGACAATATCGCTTGAAGTTACAAATTTTCTAACCTAGATTTTATTTTTTATATAAATATTCTGTTTTGTAATTTTGCTATCCTTCATTAGAATATGTTTTGTTTCTTTTTGTTTTTTTACTTTTTGTCGTCATATTTTCCTTTAGGATTTTAAACATGATTTTCTCTATTTATTGAACACATTTCTTATAGCTACTTTAAAGTATTTATCTGCTAAAGAGAGTATCTGCACACCCTCAGGGGCAGTTTACATTGAATTGTAAGGGGGTTTTTGCCTAAGAATAGTCTTACTTTGCCTGGCTGTTATTTTTTTAGTGAAAAGTATATTGTTAAAAATTTCTTGTAGCAACTCTAGATTGTGACTTGTCCCCAAAAGGTTGCTATAATTGTTTTTATGCTGAGAAACTTATCTATACTTAATCTGTGATATTATATCCCCTGTAGTATGGCCTGCTCATGCCTCTGATGTTTTCTTATTAAATTATTTTATTTTTCCACTTAACTTCCTGGGTTCACCCAGTGTCTACATAAATTCATGGTCATCAAAATTACTTAAGGCAAGACTTGGACACTGACAAATAGTTTTGCTGTAGGTATTGGGCTGCACATGAATATTTTAGGCAAATAGCACATAGAATATGTATTATAGTATAAGTCCTCCCAGATTATACTTTTTCTGAGTCTTGCCATGGCTCCTCTGCATATGCCAATCACCTGAATGCACACCAGCAGTGCTTGACTGGCTTGGGCATTTTGGTGTCTGCTAAGCATGCACACAGCCGTAGCTGAACATATGCTTGCTGCAGGCATGACCACAATGTCAGACCAGCAGAGCATCTGGCTTTCCTGCTTGAAACCACACGAATTGTTAGTTCACCATCACCTCACTCCCTACGCCAAATTAACTGAACGTCCTTAAACTGTGTAATTTTGCTGAAGGTTCTCAAGGCTTTCCTAATTTTGGAAGAACCTTCATGTCCATAATGCTCAGTGTTGGGAGGTTGGGAAAGAATGGTAGCCACAGTAGGCAAGTGCACTGCTGGTGTTCCCTGGATCTGTAGCTTTCCAATATATTTTGCTTTTTCTTGATGGCTTGAGCATTTACTGTGCTGTTGTATACTACATAAATATAATTTAAAGTGGATGCAAGATGTTTTATAGAAATATAATCATTCTTTATCTCTTCATCCAATCTCAGACATTTAGAGATTTTCCAATTTCAGAGAAAAAATATATAATGGAAAACAAAAATTATTTTGTCAGAGATATTTGCTGAAAAAATAATTACAAAATATAATTACAAGGTCAAATGTGCATTTCTACAAGTCAGTTCAACTCCATTTGTGCTGCTCTGAGAATGAACCAAGTAATGAAAGTGCCATGAGGAGGGATGTGGGAGGCTGAGGCTTAACCAGGTGAATTTCTTTATGTGGGTCAAGGAGGGTCTACAGTTAATGGCTTTTGGACCTAAATATCAAGAACTCAGTGGTGTGGTCACAGTTAGAGTATCCTGTCTCAGAAGTGGAGTTGCATATACACCAGGCCCACAGATGATGCCTAAGCTGGATGTGAGTGTATAATTTACCCTGAGAAAGAGCTCTCTCCCACACATGCTGGGCTGAGGCAGTAGCTTGGGGTCCCTATCATGGAGGCCATGGCTCACCAGAAGATGGCTCTCAAGCATAGACCAAGAGGAGTAAAGTCTAAGGTGACAAAGTGATATAAGTCAGACTTTGAAAGCTTAGAGCAGTGATCTCAGTGACAGAACTTTGTTTCCCCAAGGACTGGACAGATTGTGTCCCAGGACTGGGGACCCTCTCTGTACTTAGTTTGGGTGGGGTGGACACAGGGACACTTGCTTCTTGCTCTCACATTGCTGAACAGCCCTCTTCTGCTCCACCCCAGCACGCTTACTGATGTGCATGCCTTTATTGAGCCTTGCTCAGCCTGACTCTGCAGTCACCTGTCCCTTTAGAGGAGCTGAGATGACTCAGTCTGTGACATCCAATTACACAGTTGAACTGTGGGCTCCCATATGTCCGTGTCCTTGTGAGGAGAGAAGCACCTGCTGTTGTGACGTCTACACACTTCCTGTGCCAACAGTCTCATGGGCAGGGATCTCGTGTCACCCTGCCTACACTGATCAAATGAGACTGAAAGTAGGAGCCTCTGAAATCACCTGCCGTGGAAAAGCACAGATCCTGGTGCAATGTCAGCGATCACCTAGTGCTACAAGCAAATCTGCATGCAAGTTTCCTTCAGAATGGTGTCATCAGAGTGGAGTAAAGGAGTAGCTCAACAGTCCTCGTCAAAGGATACCAAATCCACATAGCAGCTAGTGGAATGAACTTGGTATAAAATAGGGGAACCCATCACTCACAGCCAAGAGTGTGTTGACAGCAGGAACATGTGTGTGCAGATGGATGTTTTCTTTCCATTAGCTGTGGCCTTTTGAAAGTGAGCAAGATGGCTGTGGTTTAACTGTCCTTATTTCATCTTGAAACACCAGAGACACTCTTGCACTGTCCCCAAGCAGCAGGGGACTGTTTGACTTCAAGTATTCTCCACAAATCAACCGCATGTGAAAGAGCACATACACAAAAACTAAACCTGAGAAAATAAACATCATCGACCAAAATAAACTAGAAAATAAACATCATCGCCACCAGCGCCTCATCCCACCCCACTGTCTCCTGATTAACACCCCCAACTCCACTCTCTGCACTTTCCAAGTCCAGGGCAGCCCCAGTTGGGTTGAGGAAGTAAGGTGCTAAGGAGTTGGAAGCCACAGGAGACAGCTGCCTAGGAGCCCCAGCAAGGACATCAGCCACAGAGCTGCTAGGTCATTTGTTACTTTTCCCTCGTTGCCTCCGTGCTTTCCACATGCAGAAGCAGTTACAGATCACTAAGTAGAGGCCAGGAATTGGTCCAAGGAGATGCACAAATTTTTGAGAATCAGGAAGTAGATCAAAATTAAACTTCCTCGGATCCCTGGTGGCGCAGCGGTTTGGCGCCTGCCTTTGGCCAGGGCGCGATCTGGAGACCGGGATCGATCCACATCGGGCTCCGGTGCATGGAGCCTGCTTCTCCTCTGCCTGTGTCTCTGCCTCTCTCTCTCTCTCTCTCTCTCTCATCTCTCTCTCTCTGTGACTATCATAAATAAATAAAAAATTAAAAAAAAAAAAAAAAAATTAAACTTCCTCTTCCTTTATCTGCTGGGTCTTATGTTGCTTCCACATGGGAATCTCTACTTGGTTTCTAAATCACTAATTTCACAGAAACTAAAGCTGATTGTAATAAAACACAGAAAGCTTCCCAATTTAAATAAGACATTGTTTCAATTCCAATATATAAAAGCTATTACTCTAACTGCATTTATTAGTGAAAATAGAAAAACATACAACTACTAATTTTTCCACAACTTAGCATACATGAACATTTTGTTGTACATCTATGTTTGTAGAATTACAAATACACATATGAATGAGTAGAGACACCCTCATTAGTGCATGTGCAGGTGTTGTTATCTATTTCCAAAGTGCCAACAGTAGCTAATACTCTTGAGGATTTGCATGTACCCAGTGAATTAATGCATCTCATCCACACAAGTCCAGAAGACAGGGCACATTGTATTTTCATTTACACATGAGAAATTATGTCATAGGGAGTCCATATAGCTATAGATTTAAACACAGGCACTTGGAGATCAGAGTCCAAGCCTTTACCTTCTCCATCTCCCTACATTTCTAGTGTTAGTGCTGCTCTCATGGGATTCATGTGAGATCAGAAAACCTAGCGCCTGTGAAACACTGCTATAGATCTGAGCACAAACACCAGCCATGCCATATGTTAAACAGTCATCACCAGAGTGTCTGAAACCAAATGTGTCTGAATCAGTTAACCTTTGAAGGAGAAATAACCTGGGCAACTTCACTGGCTGTGGCTCTCCTGTGTGCCAGTGCCCCAAAGAAAGCATCATAAGGACCATCTCAGCACAAGAATTAAGAATATGGAGTTGGTCAATATTACAACCAACACTGTATTGGAAGGCTCAGCTGTCATGCTGTCTCTTACACTTGACTCTCAGTTAGATCGGACCAAATAAAAGTAGACATAGGCCCAAGTAGATTTTTGATCACTTTTATTATGAAAACAGTACAAAAGTAAGTCAGTAAGGAGGTATCTTCTAGGTATGACAATAAAGGGATTCCAGAGAATCATATGGTAAAAAGAGTTCAAGAACAGACTGGAAGCTGCATGCAGGCTGTACACAGAGGCATGGGTACTGTGTGGCTGAGGAGTGGTGGGCATTAAGAGAGAGAGAAGTGATAAAGCCCCTAGGGATGGCCCCCTGTCCCACTGAGTCATAGCAGAATTTGTTCTTGCTGCAGAGTGAAAGTTTGTGTTTGCCCAGTGGTTTATAAACCCATTCTGCATTGTGACCCTACAGAGAAAGACACATGTGAAAGTAAATAACCCAATCATAGAAACAAAGCCCGGCTAGATCCTCAGCAGACATTTATAGGGACAAAAGCCAATGGAAAAAGTGGACCTGGTGGCACCATGTGTTAGGAACTCTTCCCATTGCCATCGAGTGCTGGTCTCCCAAGCAGACAGATGGTGATGATGATGGAGTACATCAGGCTCTTCAGGAGGAGGAGGAGGTAGGTGTAGTAAGCAGAGGTGTTCATGAGCTGCAGCTGCAGGGTCTAAAAGAAGTATTTTGTTAATTTCACAGTTTTTTGAAATGTCAAGACGTATTCTTGGAGAGGGTGACTGTATACATTTCTGATAACTTAGGTTGAAGTGACACTCTCACATCAGCACCACTGGGTAATAAATACCTACATCACCATCACCACCACAGAGACACCTCAGAATGGAGTTTGCAGGTCAAGTCAGTCAAAAACCTATGAAACTCATGTAGCACATTCCAAAGTATTAAAAATTAAGGTTGTCTTTATAATGAGTGAATCCAATGGGAATAAAATGCATTGGTGATAAGTGACATTTTTCACATTCATCCTCATCATGTCTTAAGAAGGAATAAGTGGCAATATCCATTAAGTACAAACTAAATGTCACTTATTTGAGAACTTTGCATGCAAAACTTAAATCTTATTTAATTTTTCAATAACTTCTGAGATAATTACTTTCATTCCCAATTTACAAATAAAGTAAGTAGAGAAAGAGGAGCCATTTGCCTGACTTCATACAACTAGTAAGTATTAGAACCCAGATTTCAATCCGAGCAACACAGCATTGAAGAACACTTTCTCAGTTGCTCTATAATTCTGCATCTCCACATGCAAGAAACAAAATAATTAAGCAAAATATAAAGTTAGATGCTGCTGCTGAAGATGATAATGATGTTGGTAATGGTCAGAGTCCAGAAGTCCCCTAATATCGGCATTGGAGGGTGTATCAGCAAGGCTATAACCGATGCTCCTCATCATTTCCTTTGTTCATTATGTGGGGAGAAAGAGCAGGAGCTAGTACTTATGATGTAGCAGCTAAAAGGGATGCCTAAGCTAGATATGATACGTATGCCATGTTATATCTTCTATAACTCAGGTAGGTGTTATTTGTGTCTATTTGGTATGTTCAGAAAATGCAAATAGTTTACCCATACTTATGCACTGGATAATTAAAAGGTTAGAATCTAAGTCTAGTCTATGACACTTGAAGCCCTGCACTCAGAAACTCTCCCTATGTGTGCACCTGTCTCAGGGCCTTGGCCTTGGGATATAGAGGAAGAATAAAAACTAAGCGTATAGACATGATTCATCTTGATTCAGATGGTCTGGGTTTCAGCCTCAGCTATTTCTCTATGGCATGGTGAAAAATTCATTTTAGCTCATTCCCTCATGTGTAAAACAGGAATGAAATCTTTCAAAGTATTAAGAGAATTAAAGAAAACACACTCCCAGTGCAGCACAATGCCTTCTGTACAAGAACATTTTAGTGTCAGTTCAGGTAATTAACTACCAGCAAAAACAAGGCTTAAAAAATATATAAGCAACATGAAAACATGTTTTTCCCAGTCAATAGAAACACTGGGCACAAAAGTGAATGAAATCCATGATTGAAAGAATTCAGGGCACATCACTGCACCCCTAATTCATGGTCCTCTCACACCCAAACCAGAGTTTACTGTGTGAAGATGATCTGAGAATTGATGGATTGACATAAATATCACTCAGTCTATTTTGCAAGACCCAGCCATTCTGGGGTTTCTCCCTGAAGCCAGGGGAATTTGAAGTCTAAGTTGATCAGGAAGGAAAAATGTTACAGCATAACATAAAGGCAAACACAGACAAAAACTTACGATTTTCATCATCCAGGAAAGCTTCTGTAGAGTTAATAGCAGTGAGTTCTAAAAGATATGAGGACAAATATTATTCAGTAGTTCATATCTATTGTTCACCTTTGTTTTGTTGTGGATAGATGACGAATAGATGATAGAGAGATGGATAGATAGATAGATAGATAATAGAATTTGTTGGCAGGAGAGGAAGAGCCAATACAAATATATATACCAATTCCAGAAATTTTTTGTTTGATTTTACATAATTTAGTAGATCAATTCACATATTGTATTTCTGCACATAAAGATGTCGCAGTTTGTGATTGATACATTTTCCTTTGTTTCCTCACAACTGTAATGCCTAGCATTATCTTGTTTTCCTTCTGTGTTCATAGCTCATACTACAGTGACTGCTCCACAATATTTTTTCTATAAATACTATTGATTCTAACTCTGGGAAATGAACTAGGGGTGGTGGAAGGGGAGGAGGGCGGGGGTGGGGGTGAATGGGTGATGGCACGGAGGGGGACACTTGACGGGATGAGCACTGAGTGTTATTCTGTATGTTGGTAAATTGAACACCAATAAAAATTAATTTATTAAAAAAAACAAAAACAAAAAAACAAAAAAAAAAACAAAAAAAACCCAAAAAAAAAACAAAAAAAAAAAAAAAGAAAAATAACCAGAAACGGTGGCTGCGGTCCAGTCCTCTGCACCCACTGCTCACATGAAGGGTTGGTACCAAAATGAATTTGTCCAACACTAGAAGCCACAGTAGCACCTTTCCTGTTGGAAGGACTCTGGTTTAGGTAAATTTCCTATCTAAGGTAAGAAGCAGCCCTGTCTTTTAAATTATGCGTGCCCCAACTCCTGCACATGATTTTCTGGACTGATGGTGTTGGAGGACCTGACAACAAATACTAATGAAAGCCAATACCTATTGATTGATTGTTATTGTGCCAGGGACTATGTGGAAGTTCACAGGCATTATCTCATCTCACGTCCCCATTATATTTATATGAGCTGAATTTGGAGGGTTCTGTGTTACCCAGAAGGAAATAAGATTTAGAGAGTCTATGTCCCTTGCTGAATAGCATACCAGTGATTATTGTCAGAGCCAGCACTGAAAGGATGGCTGTGGGGGTATTGATGAGCTAGAGCCTGTGGAAAGCATCTTGTAAAACAATCCACATAAGAAATAGTGAAAGGGAATAAAGGGGAAAGGAGAGAAAACGAATGGGAAATATCAGTGAGGGTGACAGTACATGAGAGACTCCTAACTCTGGGAAACAAACAAGGGGTAGTGGAAAGGGAGATGGGCAGGGAGGTTGGGGTGACTGGGTGATGGGCACTGAGGGGGGCACTTGACGGGATGAGCATTAGGTGTTATGCTATATGTTGGCAAATTGAACTCCAATAAATAAATACATAAATAAATAAATAAATAAACCATAGAAATCAAACATAATTCCACTGTTGTGATTTCTCAGACATCATCTCTGCCATATAATTATATTATATATTAGTCTTAGCAAATGACCATTTTATCAAAGAATCTCAGCCTTTCTTTTTAATTTTTTAAAGTTTTGTTTATTTATTTGAGAGAGAGTGAGCATCAACAGTGGAAATGGGCAGAGGGAGAACTAGAAATGATTTGCAGCTGAGTAGGGACCCCAACACATGGCTCAATCCCAGGACTTTGGAAACATGATCTGGGCCAAAGGCAGGCACTTAACTGACTAAGCTACTGATGCACCCCTAAAAGCTCAGCATTTCAGTGCACTTGTTTGCAGGAATAGGTTGAAAGGCCTTATATGTTCTCATTCATTTGGGGAATATAAATAATAGTGAAAGGGAATATAAAGGAAGGGAGAAGAAATGGGTAAGAAATATCAGAAAGGGAGACAGAACATAAAGACTCCTAACTCTGGGAAACGAACTAGGGGTGATGGAAGGGGAGGAGGGCAGGGGGTGGGGGTGAATGGGTGACGGGTACTGAGGGGGGCACTTGACGGGATGAGCACTGGGTATTATTCTGTATGTTGGCAAATTGAACACTAATAAAAAATAAATTTATTATTAAAAAAAGAAGAAAAATCAGAAACAAAAAAACCAAACAAACAAAAAAACACCTAACACACATACAAATGCAAAAATCCTTAATGATGATTGACCATGGATGCAGGAAGAGAGAGCTGTAAGGTTTTTTGGTTTATCCTTTTTCACCTCCTGTTATGTTGTCCATACAGACATGATTCTGGTGTGCAATTTTATCCACTCCACACAATCTTATGTTGGTGTGCTCTTGAAAAATGGGTATAGTCTTTTGGGTAAATCCCAAGAAAAATAATGTTAATATAATTATGTTAAATGTTAAAATATCCTAAAGAGCTCACATTAAATTGCCCTAAGCAGATCTTTCTTTTCCATACAGTGATTTTATTCATGATATTTGTACCTGAAACTGATATAACACTGTAGGTTAATTAACTAAAAGTAAAATAGAAACTTCAAAAAGGTACATAAAAATCTCTTATCACCATGCATTGATTGATAAAAAGACAACAAAGTAACAATTTTCATAATACAAATTGTATGTGTGTCCATGGTGCCCTTTTTCTGTCAAAGTTGGTCAAAAAGTTTGAGGAGATGAGTTTATCTCTGTTCAGAATCACTCACTGTTCTGTGCATTCATTTATATACATACATATATATATAAGCTTTTACAAAAAAATTAAAACTTCCATGGACCAGCACTAGGTATCTGTTGTAGAATTCCAATAACAGAAGTGCCCTGTTTATTGTTATGAGAAGACCTTGGAAGACATTCCTTTCAGAAGTAACTGTGAAGTGAGGCACATCATTAACAGAAACACCTCCCTTATCACAATCATCGCCATGGAACTTACTATACTTTTTACTTTTCTTGTCACACTGGAAAAATCAAAACCTAACATGATACTTCAGCCCAATGGTTTCATTACATTTATGCCTTGCTCATTTGTCCCTCTCTGTTAGCTGTAGAAATAAACATTAAGGCTCTCTGTATAATTTGATTTTAGCTAGTTTTAGGAAAGAAAATAAATAAATACAATAAATATAGGTTAAATTCATCCATGTCATGTTTTCAACAGCATGTATTTTCACTGATGTAATTTCATTTGCTTTGCATCACATTTCTGGGGAAAGTAAAAGTAAATATTTAATCCTAATCTGATCATTGGACAAACTGAGAATCTATGAAATAAGAAAAATTCAACTGAGTATATTTTGGCTGTATTTTCAACCTGTTCATGAATCGGGCATCATCCCATCTAGCAAGTAGGAGGCAACTCCTAAGGGCTACAGGACAGAGGTATTTCAAGATAGAGAGGGAGAGAAAAAGAAATTATTAGCAAAGAATCCATTGAGGCAGGGTCTCAGAGGGGCCAATCAGTAAACATCCTAGTGCTGACCAGAAAACTCCCATGTCCACTGGCTAAAGGTTCCAGTTCTGGCTGTTGAAACTGCAGTTGGGTAGCTATGAAGAGTTGGTTTACTGACTTGTGGCCTTAAGCTAAATGAGTACATTGTGAGCCTATGGTTTCCTGCCTTTTGATCACATTCTCAGCTTAACCTAGAAAAGGGATCAAAATTGAAGGCATTAACACTACTGTCAGAAACTGCTCTGAAGTTTTCAACAGTTCCTGTTGTTCCTTTGGGTGATATACACAGGTCTTGACCTTTTGCATAAGCCTTCGATATTCAAGGATTATCACTTTAACATTATAGTTTTTAGAGCTGGTCATACTTTTCATTCTTTTGTAGTACCCCAGTCTAAAAAAATCATTTGCTTAAAAGTTACTGACTTAGAACTTGTATGTAAAACTTTTGAGAGAACAAAATGCACCAGGAAGATTTTTATGATGCCTAATAACAGGATAATTCCCCATGTTGAGTGATGGGCACTGAGGGGGGCACTTGATGGGATGAGCACTGAGTTTTATATGTTGGCAAATCGAACTCCAATTGAAAAATATACATAGAAAAAAAAGTTCCCCATGTTGGGAGGTGCTTTCTGATGTCATTGCTCCCAATACTCAAAGCAGTTAAAATCACATAAGTAAGAAAGACTCTGCCGAAGGAATCTTTCATTTAAGCCACATGGATTCCTGCCAAATGTATTAATCCTGGTGACTTCTTGGTAGTCTCTACTCCTTGGGATGTAAATTTAGAAGAATCAACCAATAAGATGTCTTATTTACCTTGAGAAAATTTTGAACCAGTGTTAGATTTTCTGCTATACTGAATAAAAGTTTCCTCTAAATTCCAGAGGTTACACATATGGCAATGACATGGGAAATACAGGCCATTTCCAGAGTAAGGAAAGAAAAGAAGGAGAAAGGATTTAATATTTAGTTGAAGTATGAAGTCCTGAAACCCTGTTAAGGTGAAAGCAGTCAATTTGGATGTCTGCTATTTGTACTTCACTCAGTTGTTGCAGAATCTCCTGTGTCTGGGTAGGACCTGGTGTCAGGTGGAGACATTTGTAGATGTGTGATGTGTACAAGGTTCAACCTTTAGTTTTACAACAGGACCACTTGGTAACATCCCTCTTCTACTGAGATAGTCGAGGGCTATCTTCCTCTGATGTTTGGCTAAAACACCTAATCAGCAGGCAGTAAACTGTGACCTGTAGGATCCTTTTAACTGTAATCTAAGAACATTTCCATAACCTGTTGATGACAGTCTTGAGCTGCAGATATTGGAGACTTATACCAGCTGGTCAAACTAGCAGGCAGCACAAAGGATCAGCAGAAGGTTGTACACTGAGACAATTCCAAGAGATTGGCAAGATTTTCCTAAAGGCCCCTTTGATTTGCCCAGTGAAGGAGGAGCCTTGGTCACTGGAGGTCACAGAAAGTGGGCCTCAAGGAGGAAACCCATTTTTGACAATGTCTTTGCCAGAGTGAATGTATCATTCTCATAGCAGATAAAGGCTTTAAACCATCCAGAAAACATATAAATATTTTTGTGACAAGGGCACAGTGACAATGCACACTAAGTGGCAGTGGAACGAATTCCAGCTG